ACAGCCGCCTGACCTTCAATGACCTGCAAAAATTCTTTTTTAATGGAGGGACTGCCTAATAATGTCAACATGAATCAGCTAGCTTTGTGCAATTATTTACATAGCATTGCTATTCTTGGAGTTGGAGGCTTTGTTGTGGGGTTATGTATTCACCATAAGCACTTAAAAAAGAATGAAAGAGATGAGAAATTGAGAGGTTTCTGATTGCATCTACTGAGCGATGCAATTTGGATAGAGAGTGTCCAAACAAAGAACTGCCCTTGCTTCTAGATATAATGAAAGTGAAATGGGTACATATTTATGATGAATACCTCAATCAATCTCCTCTGGAGTTGTTGCAGGCCTTCAGTTGTTAGACTCCTGAGCGAGCCACCAAATTTGACGATTGGAGGAATTATATTCAATCCACTCCCACCTCTAACATAGGTAACAGAGACCACCTTCAAACAAAAGAAAATGATTGCATTAAGTCACCTGAAACATACTTTGACCAAGAATGGCATACCGAGCCACAGAAATAGTAGCTCGATGGCTGCCTCAGATAAAATGCCATCTGTCCATGAACCCAAAGCTACGGGACGGGTGACTATGTAAAATAAAGTTGGCGACTAAAAGGTACTCCATGAATGAAGTTAATGCATAAGCTATAACTTAGTAACTCCCAATAGCAGAGTGGTTTAACAGACAAAAATGCATTGAAAATGTAGCTAGTACACAAAGTCCATGTCTGTAAAGCTTCCTGAGGGGCCAAATTGATGTGGAATGATAAGAGGATAAGAAAAGGATGTATTTGAGATACGGTTCATTAACAGTGTATAAGAAAACTTGTAAAGAACCCAGCTTCAAGCACTGTTATGGCACCGTTTTGGAGAGGGTGTAAAACCCAGCGGATGAGGCTCTGCGCAATTTCATTTAGCTAGTCAACTACCGAGTATCACAATGCAGTGTGCAATGGAGTAAGCCAAAATCTTATGTAACAGAGTCTCAAAGATACGTACTTCACTGAGGAGCGGATCAGCTTCTCTTGAGACAAGCTGTTGAAGTGCCAAGATGGCGAATGAAGCAGCGAGTACCGGATCCACGCTATTATGAGGTGCTGCCGCATGCCCGCCTTTTCCTTCTATTTTAGCTTCAAAGATGCAAACAGCAGCTAAGTTCGGGCCAGCGAGTGAAGTTATGATTCCTGTGGGCGTTGTATAATCATTATGCATTGCAAATATTGCTTCAGCATCACCCAGCGCGCCTTCTTTGATCATGTGGGTAGCACCAGCTCCTCCCTCTTCAGCAGGCTGGAAAATAAGTCTTACGGTCCCCTGACCAAGGTAAACAATTCAAATTTCTAAGTCCTCTGCATCATCAACAATATGAGAGTAAATGTAATGCAATCGCCGTCCATAGTAAAATCTGGCTGCTGGAAACAGCCTTATAGTTATAGATCACGTAATTGTGATGAAAAATTTGCGGAATTAAGAATGTTACTTCCTGGTTTATCAGATTTCCTGATTAGTCCATAAGCCTAAACCCACCAAGACAGAAGATGGAGATGAGCTGAATCTGAAAAAAAGGAGTCCTAGCTAGCCTCCTTGTTCGAGCATAAGGCAATTGGTGTCACCAGATCTAATCCAGTGCTACACCAGCTCTAAGCCTAACACTTGTAACTCGTGAGAGTCTCATAGGTCAAATCGACATTTTCAATATTTTCAACTGCATGACAGTAATTGAAGGATGGCAATCTCAAGATGGTCCCCTGGCCTTTAAGTAGAGCAGTCTAAAGTTGTCGATTTAAAGAAGTCTACTGCACTGAGCAAATAGCCAAGTACCCCGTTGCTTGCTCGCCACACAGAAATCTTACCCAATGCAGAGGCATGAACTCGATATTTAGGCCTCAAGTTCTAAAATCAAGGTTTGGTTACACAGTGAAAGGGACACTTACAAAGTAATAGAGGCTCCAAACACTAGAGAAGCAAACAAGTTCTTGCACTTCTATAATCTAAAAGGCAAAGTAGGAAAAATGACTACAAGTAACGCCATTATATGCCACATACTTCAGTAGCACACAGCGGTCACAGACTCTCTCCAACTCTACTGAGGCGAAGTAAAGAACTGTCATTTGATTGACTGCAAGTAAACACTGACCTTAAGTTTATCTTTCCGTTCATTCAGTAATTTCGCAGCACCAAGAAGCATGGCCGTATGGGCGTCGTGCCCGCAAGCGTGCATTTTGCCATCAATTCTGCTCTTGTGCTCCCACTCGACAAGTTCCTACACTCCGGCAATTGACCAAACCTTTTTAAGCAAATCCATAGATACACAAAAACAGAACAACAAAAATGTAAAACATTGAAAAGAACCAACAAAAAACAAAATCTCAGGAACTCGTCAAACACTCGCCTATAGTCAATGTGTGGGCACCCATATAATTCATACCTTACACATTACTTGACATACTTTCAAATGTATAAGATTCACATGAAGCCCAGAACATAGACAAAGGTATCTCAAACAGACAACCAAAGCATGGGACCACAACAAGAACAAGAATAAGGGACAGAACACAAACCAAAGTTATCCACATTTTAGCTTTTAGGCATTCACCAGAGCTCTGTTACCATATTTAAAAGGAAAGTGTATATCAAGCACATTTCTTGACGGGCAAAAGAACCGAGTACAGCCCTACCACCTATTCAATTTTCGAAAGCCACGATCGATGGATCGATCCTGTCGGGTCACCAGCGGGGCTTGCTTTTGTTTTACCTGCAAAGGCAAGGCGTCCATGTCGGCCCGGAGGGCGACGACGGGCCATGACCCGGACCCGACGACGGCGACGACGCCGGTGCCGGCGAGGGGGTAAGAGTAGGGGATGCCGAGCCGGTCGAGCTCGGCCCGGACGAGGGAGCTGGTGTTGTGCTCCTCGAACCGGAGTTCCGGGTACTCATGGATCCGCCGCCGGACGGACGTGAGCCACGGCTGGTCCCGCTTCGCCGAGCCCAGGAGCTCGTCGGCGTAGGCCCGGTCGTAGTGGTGGTGGCTGCTGCTGCGGCCGGCGGCGGCGGTGGCGGCGCAGCGGACGGCGTGGAGGGAAGCGGCGAGGAAGACGAGGGCGAGGAGAGAGCCGTTCCTCAGTTGGCGAGCCATCTCCCGAATTTGATGAGGGGAAAACGAGGGAACAGATCGGAGCAAGCTCGATGCTTCGACGTCGGACAGTAGTTAGTCAAAGAGGGGAGAGACGATGGGGAGAGAGTTGGAAGACGAGATTTTTTAATGATTAAGTGAAGCCGAGGAGGATGAAAGTACAGCAAAAGGGGTGGTGGCGCAGTTGGCTAGCGCGTAGGTCTCATAGCTTTAAGAGTTATCCTGAGGTCGAGAGTTCGAGCCTCTCTCACCCCATTCCCTTCTCCTGTTTTGTTTTTCCTTTGCTTTTTTCTTCATCGGTTAAAAAAAAACAAACATAATTATGTTTCTGTTTTGCTCACGTTAATTGGCGACGTTTTTCAGGCGATCCTCTCCCGCTCACCAACATCTGATCTGAGGTTTTTTTCACCTCAACTTGGATGCATAACTCCGAAGATGCAATTTTCGAAATAAATATGGGAAGCGTTCGTTGGAAGTCTTAAAACTTATCATGAATTGTCATAAAAATGAAATTAAGTTCTTAAACTTACAAAAAGTGCAACGAAGTTCTATAAAACTTGTCAAATTGGTTTAATCGAGTCATAAAGTTAACACCGTCTGAATTACTAACGGAAAATTATTGGCACACGCTGATGTGGCTTATTTCAATATTCTCTCTCCCACACGACGATGACATGGCTAAATTATGAAACATAAGACTTAAACAACATTGTTTTTGCCCAAATTAAGTTTTAATATTAATTTTATTTAAATAAAATTTAAAAATAAGCTAAATGATTTTGTTATTTTTTTTAAGAGGAGAAGTCAGGGGAGGGCTGCAAGCCGGCAAGCCCTTGTCGCCGCCGCCGCCCCACCATCACCAGGAGGGGCCGGCAAGGGTGGGGGATGGCCGGTGGTGGTCGCCGAGCCCCGACCAATGGCTTGTAGGCCCTCGCCTTGCCGATGGCAAGCGAGGGCCTACAGGCCTTCCCCTAGACTAGGTGAGGGTCATCGGCTCTCGCCCAGACCTGTCCGAGGGCACCACTAGCGGCCGACCTCCGCTAATGGCGGCCCTTGAACAGGTTTGGGAGAGGGCCGAGGACCCTCGCCCGATCTGGGGAAGGGTCGCGAGCCCTCACCTGCCGTAGGCGAGGGTTGCCGGCCCCTGGCCGAAGACTAGCGGCAAGGGCTTGTAGCCCTCCCCGACTGCTTTCTCCTCCTCCTTCTTTTTTTTATTTAAATATTTAGCTTATTTTCAAATTTTAATTTACATAAAATGTGTAAAAAGTAATTTAAAAAAAGAGCCACATCATCACCGCGGAAAATAGAAAAAATAATACCAAAAAAGTCACGTCAGCATTTTTTTATTAGCCAAATTAAATGGAGTTAACGAAAGCGACTCAATTGAATTAATTTGATAAGTTTTAAAACTTTCAATATCCCAATAAATAATTTGGCCAAAGTGAGACAAGGCTTCTGGAACGTAAAAGAGTCAAATGGAGCTTACGCAGCAAATTCAAAAAGAGTGCTCGACGCACACACTCTGACTAAGCCGATGCCCACTTCTCGTCATCTTGGTCTTCGGGGGCTCGGAAGCTTTGTCAAACCATCCTTATCCTAATAATCATCCGTTAGAAAAAGATGACGTCGCTTGTGGGGCGTTTTACACTTCGTCGAGCCTCGCAACTGTAGTGGCGCGTAGAAGTCACAAATGCATGGTGATCGAAATAGGAATGAGGAATTACAAGCTCTCGTGAATACTTGTATCTGTCAATGAGGACATTACTTTGCCCGAAAACGATTGAACTTGCTGTGATCTACACACGCATATCTCAGAAAACGATTGAATTTGCTGTGAAAACACATGTAGCTCCACTGATCCGAATCCATGTATTGAATGATCCCTCGGCCGCCCTCTGTATATTCACTTATTCAGCATTATCACGACAATGTTTCTGTACAATTACAATCTGCTGTAGTCAGCCAGAGCAAAACTCTCTCGCGACATAGAACAAAAAGAAGAAAACAAAAATTCCCTAAATCTCTCGTGTACAGACTGCGTATCATCTGTGGAATGTACATCTATCTACTTCTCTGAATTTTTCATGTCTCTCTCCTTCCTTCTTTCGCCGCTTCTATTAGCTTCCCCAAAATTGCATCGACACCCGAGGGAGCAAAACCCCAAAGGCTTAAGATGCAAGTATAGCTACTCTCGAAAAATAAGTGGGTATAGGAAGTCATGGAGTAAAAATGTGCCTAAACACTAGGACCGATAAAGATGGTGAAAATAATCTGAAATATGGGTGAGGGAAATGACAAAACTGAAATGAGCTTCTCACGGTATCCCTTAGTCCACTCATGGCATGGGTCTGATGAGATGCTTATGGATGGCAAAGAATACCGTGATCGTGTCATAATTATACCTCAGCATCGGGAGAATGTAACAATACGCCAACTCAAGTTGTGAGCTAGACCAAGATCTTTCCGCTCTTACTGGAGCTCGAGACCATATCTTCTTCTTTGCTTTGGACTCTAGATCCAAGGAGCCAGATGCACCAGATAAGTGTCAGGGTATTAACTGTGAGCACGGCATTTTTATAGGTGACAACACCACAGTAAGTCGAGCATGATCGGAGAGAGAATAGTCTTCAGGCCACCTTCCTTTCTCCACTTCAGGCGGGAACAGAACTGCATTTTTCACACTGAAACCGATTGTTTGCTCCTGACGACCTTTTCCATCTTCAAACTCGCTTCTCTCTTCCGTCTTTTGCTCTGACCAAGAGGGGTTCCAGATTCGTTGCTGCATCACCACGTTTATCATAAATAATGCATTTGAAAACAAGGCAGTAAGACATTCATTTTGATAGGACATAGTTTTAGACACATTAAATTCACTGAGCATAGTCATTAATAGACCTGCTCATTTGGGTGGGCTTATGCCCAAACCTCCTCAGCTCCTGCCCAGGCCGCCCCCAAGGGAAAAACATGGGCAGGCCAGGTCTGTACAATATTAGTGTTTACAAAGTAAAGTTATTAGTAACACACAAATCTCTTTTAACCAACATATATGAGGGGGGGGGCCTGTTGATCAGGTCTCGTCATCGAGCAAACACCGTCGCAAGCAAAAGGTCTTTCAATTATCAATTATTCTCACAAGCGGGCAACAATTGTTAAAATAGTGGGCTAAAAGCAAATAAAACAGTGGCTCCTGCTAACACCAAATTGAAGAAAGCAAGGAATATGTGGATTCTAAAGATGAGAACAAATCCAGAGGCTTGTTTCTCCAAGAAAGAACACATGGATGTTGCTAATTCCATTAAGTTGATAAGAATCTGATTTACCTGAAACTCTTCAAAAGTGACAAAACCTTTGCCATCGATATCTGCTTGGACCCATAAGTCCTTTGTCTCTTCAGCACTAAGCCCATGGCTGGGGTCAGTCAATTTGAGCTACCAAAAAGTAGACAACTATTAGACTACTATAGGTCTCATTGACATGCCTGTGAAACAGTCTAAAAGTACTAAACACCAGTTCTATTAGAAATAACATTCCCTACCTGTCTAAGTGCTTCACAGAAACCCAAGTAGTTGATATAATCACCAGGATTATCAGCCTTGAGAAACGCAAAAGCCCCTTTTTCTGTTGGCGAAGCTCTCCTCAGTAAATACTGAGACAAAAGAAAGCTCGTGGTCAGTAACACAAAAGTAAAGCGATTAGATTTAATGCACGATGATTGAGATCTGAAAAGGAAGATCAATCTACATTAACAAGCAATAGCTACTGTGATAGTGAAGATTCTAATCCTGAGAAAACTTACTTTTACTTGATCAGTTGATATATCAGAGTTGTTGAATATAAATGGATGGTGTTCAGTTAGCTAAGAACTGTATACATTACAAGGCCCAACATGAAATAGTATTGAATATAAAAAAATGCTTCAACCTCAAAAATGAAATCCCTCTACAATCACAAGGCACTGTTTTAGCTATAGACCAATCATAGGTGCACTAAGTTAACAAAAGAATATTCACGATAGCTATGTGATTTAATACTTCTGTCATACTTTCAAAAAAGCATCTGCATGACCACAATTGGAAAAAAAAAAACAAAAAAAAATAGTTAGGTCAGTCAACAAAACACAAAATCAAAGTCATAAACCATTCTAAGATTGGAATCAGACGAGGATATGTGCAGCATTAGTAAAAAAGAAAGATGCACAGATCCTCGATATAACATAAATCTCCATGTGTGTATTTTTAGGATCCTGTCTCTTATGATGGAAATGATATCAAAATATAATCGTCAGTGCCAAACAATGAATCCTAGCATGTTGAGGAAAGAGCAGAAGCTTAAACGTAAATTAATGGACAAGACATCTTCGACATGCATCGAATGGCTGTAAGGATAGTGGCAGTTCAGTTCAGTAGGAGAATCCACAGGATATAAGATAAAATCAAACATCTTAAACTATTTATGACAACGTACGACAGCATCATATATATGCAAGTAATTGTGAGTGATTCATAGGAGTCCATAGGTTAAACTGGAAAACTTACCTTGAACATGCCAAACACAGTCTCAATCCAACTTGTCTTTAGTAATTTTCTATAGCTGTTAGGATTGAGGAGCCATATAAAATCTACACCACAGATATTTCCTCGATGATTCCTGTGGCTAACCCACTGAACAACAAAAAGGAAAACAGGAATCAATAAGCAGAGAGAATGCGGTAAAATAAGTAAATAAACAAAAGTTAAGAGCTAAATTTTGGTCTAAAGAACCTTGTGCGCATCTGCATCGGTGTACTGGTGAGCAGTATCATAGGAGGAAACAAACCCCTGAGACCTAAGGAACTTATAAACATGGCCGCGTTTACTTCCATTCCAGTCGCTGTGAAAAGTGGGCACAAGATAAAGGATACAAAGATCAACACAATTTCTAAGAAAGATGTTTAACTCTCCGGAAGTGAAACCATGAACTAATTTACCCGCAGAGTATTATCGGCAAGGAATTCAGGTTGTTTTCTTTCTGATATGATTCCACAGATTGCAAGATATTGTACACCTGTTACCCAAGATAGTAAAGGAATCTTGAGCTGAGACATGACTGCTAATGGGACCGGTAGAAAACCGATAAAATTATAGCAGGTGACTAGATTAGCAGAAGAGGAAAATATTTACCTGATGAAGTCGTACTATACAGAGACTAGAGTCATGAGGAAATAATAAGTGGGTGTTGACAATGAGCATTTCTTGCCGAACATCATTGCTTCGGCACTCTGGGAAGGGCGCAACTAGTTCAACGTGTAATAACTGAGCAACCCGATCTCCGCAATCATAGAAAAGGAGCTCCCTATATTTTATAACTCTAAAATAGTCTCTGCGAACAGCAATCAGCAATCCTGCAGACTCCAGTAATTGTATCACAAGTCAAAAGCAAATAACAAAATGTCAGATGAATGAATAGCCCTGACTATATTCCCCAGCATTGCACCAAAATTTAACTGCAGCAGAGCCGCCACTTTGCAAACTTTAATCATCCCATCATCCTTATCGCGATTAATAATCATTGAAATTTTTGGCCACTTTCGATCCGAGATTGAATGATTCAACCATAGAAATATTACTCAGGGAACAGATGAGAGTTGGTAGGGCCAACCACCAAACCACCCAAACATATGAAAATCTCCCAATCACTGTGCATGCCTTATGCATAGTTAGCCACTACCAAGACTCCAAATCACATCCAAATCCCTTTTTTCCAACGATAAACTTAAGAAACACATCTGATTATGTGTATGAAGCTAGTGATTCCTTAACAAAATCCTAATCTGTCCCTTCCTGCATATTCCACAACAACCAGATCAGACTCACCTTTTGCTTTCCTGGATCTTTAAGATCACATCAATTTTCCGGTTGATATAAGCTCATCAAAAGTTACTTTTCCAGCAACGAAGAATCTCAAGCTCGTTACCAAACAACAGTAAAAGCAGGAAAGCAGTAATTTTCTCTATACGCTATCTAGAAATTCAAGTCCCCTTTACGAAACAACACAGTCAATACGGACCCTTAAGTACTTCGAACCAAATGTTCGATCAACACATTGTGGTGCTACCTCGAAAAAGTGCTTAAAGTTCAAGAACCGAACAAGAGTCCGATTAGAACTCGCGCAGAAAGTAATAGAAAAACCTTCAACTTGTAAATTAGGCAACCTACCATCTCCGCGGTTGTTGGTCCGCGCAAGCTTGAAACTGATGTAACCAGCATCCCCCAGCCTCTTCTCGTACATGTTGACGAGCTCTTCATTGCCGACCCAGAACTCCTGCAGACATTTCCAAATGAAGAACCCAAAAATAATAAAAAAGCCATTTTTAACCCATCGATGCCCGCATAAAAATCTCCACGACCTCCCAATACGGATTCACTCCAATCAAAACGGCGGTCGAATGGACGAGAAACACGACCTGAAGGCAAATGATGGACGACCTCTCATCCAACAACCAATCCAATATCCGATGATTCCTGCCGAGCCAATACGCTCTGCAATCACTTTCGCGACAGCTCGGATCCTGCGTCCACCGCGGCATCGGAAAAGAGCACGGAAAAAACCAAGCGTCACTCCAAAAACTCAGCCAAAAACAAGGCAACCAAAAAGCTCGGATCCCCAGCACATAAAACTTAAAACCGAATTGAACAGAGAGAGAACGAACAAATTTGCGGACGACAAGGAGACGGACCTTGAGGTTCAAGCGCTTGTAGATAGGGGCGAGGATGTTGAAGGTGGTGCAGGTAATGCACGGGTGCTGGCGATCGCCGACCGACGACGCGATCGCGTAGCTCCCGATCCGGGACACCCTCCCCTTCATCTTGCTCCTCCGCTCCTTCCTCATCGCTCCCCTCCGATTCCAGGGACCGCGCGCAACGAAAATCCTCCCGAAAAAACTCACACACCGCGACGAAACGACGGAGAAACGACGGGGGGCAATGCGATTTCGACGACGAGCGCGAGGGGGTCCGTCCGCTTCGAAGACGCCAAGGAGAGAGCGCGCTCCCTTGCTCCCCCGCGGTTGGTGGCTGGTGACGGAGGGAGCAGAAGGTTCGATTTTCGTTCCCCCCCTTCCTTTCCTTTTTATAGAGACGGGGGGCGGTGGTGGCGGTGGTGGTGGCAGGCGACGGGTAACGGGCGTGGCCGGTGAACGGGGGAATGGCGGGTTCGATTTTGAAGGCGATGGTGGGTGGTGGTGGTGGGGGGAAAGGGAAATAAGAAAAACGGAATTTTAACCGGTACCGGCGGTCTCTCTCGCCTCTTCCTCTAACACCTGCTGGCGATCCGCGAAACGGCCAACTTTTCTTTTTGTGCGGTTGTCGTTGCGCTCTTTTTCCTCTGCTTTTTTTTTTCTTTCTTTTTCTTCCTCTGTTTTTTTTTTTCGCGCGTGGCCTTTCCAATTTATAAGCTGCGGGGAGAGAGAGCGGGAGAGAGAGTAGGCCGCGTGCTGCGCGGCGACGTCGTTCTTGGATTCCGCGGTGGATGTTTTCTGGCGTCGGATGGGCGCGGGGTGCCGTGTGGATGGCGAAGTAGAGGCGAAACCAGAAATGTTTGGATTTTGCTTTTCGGGAAACAAAAATAAATTGGACATATTCGATTTAGAGATGGAATAACTTTTGGCCCTATACACAACTTGGTCCCTCGATTTTCGATTTGTTGGTTGTGGACCTTGAACCTTAGCCTAATGTCCAATATTGTCCTTCATGAACTTTTGGTACATGTTCAAACTAGTTCTTAAATTATGTGAAAATGGTCGATGTTGTCCTTAAACTTAAATTGATGGAATGACGACATTAAACATTTTTATACAGTCCATGGACTAGTTTGAACTTGTACCAAAAGTTCAGGAATGATAATATTGAATATTTTCATAGAGTTTAAGGACTGGTCTTTTTTCTTTTTTTGATCGAACGAGGGACTAGTCTGAACATATATAAAAAGTTCATGAAGGGCGACATTGAACATTTTCATATAGTCTAGGGATTAGTCGAACATGTATCAAAAGTTCAGGAATAACAATATTGAATATTTTCATATAGTCCAAGGACTAGTTTGAACACGTACCAAAATTTAAGAATCAAATTGAATAAATTGAAATTTCAGGGACCATATTGCACATTGGGCCAGAGTTCATAGATCATTCGTGTCATTTTTCTTTGATAGATTTATCTTTATTTTGGCTATCTTCAGTTGGATAGGCTGCCTTCATTAAGCGTTTTTTTTAATACTGGGGGTATTCAATTTTAGAAAATGATACGAGACGTTCGATTTGCCATATTAAGTGGTTTATTTTTTCCCATAAGTGGCCATCCCATCATTTTATGCATTATTTGTTAAATGATATTTTTATAGCAAGGAGGCGCACGAGTGGATTGATATCGGCCCAATACATCGCTTGTGATTTATCACATCCGTCGACCTATATTTTTATATTCAATTTATCATCATCATCGATTAGTAATCCCATCGCAATCACGCGTGCCAATTTTAAGAACATAAAAGTTCCGAATCATTCTAGTTATTACATTAAATGAACTGATGAGATATTCGATGAATTTATCACATAAGAAGCAAAGATACTTGAATAGAAACATTGTAATTCATACAAGCAAAGTTGATATGGGATCAATTCATGACGACCAACGACACATAAGACCGCATTCATGTCTCGAAGAATCAAATTTCACATTGTCCTTAATGAGAACACGTCTAAGCAATTACCCTCGATACTTCGGGGGCCTATCTTGGATCCTTAATAGTGGTTATTGAATGTACCTCACCAAAGCAGGAGAAGCTTACGCTTCCGACTGGGATCGCCCCGCCTATCTAGATATATACATTTGGCGAACTGACAAGACTGCGTTCCTTATTTTAACGTGTCAATGCCCGCACACTCTATTCTCTCTCTCTCGGGAATATCCCGAGTTTAATTTCCCAAAATTCGGACAAAGTAACTTAAGGACATGGTCAGGTCAAGTCGGAGCGATATCTTTCAAAATGGAAAATGAATTATAGCAAAATAACACCAGCGATTGCTTTGGCTCTATTATCAAAGGGGGGAAAAGAAGAAAAGGGGGGGAGGGGGTTGGAAAAAGCACATCGGACGGTCGGATGGCGTGCAAAGAACGCACGGTCCAGGCTCGCCTGTTCCCCGCGGTGACGTGACGCGCTCGATCTCACGGCCACACACACGCATCTTCGAGGGTAGGCAAGTGGCTGGAGAAATTACCGCGGTGGAAAAATACTATAATCGGGAGGAAAACGAGACACGATGGGGACAGAGCCATGGCCGTGTCGAGTAAAATAATGCGCGCAGAGAAAAAAGACAATGCCCCAAAAGCTCCTTCGAAAGTGGCAAAATCATTGCGAAAGAGCGCATCCCACTCCGGGGAAAAAGATTGCTGTCCCTGTCGACCCGGATGGGTTCCTGATTTTAACGGGCCGCGAAAATGCAGAGCTTAATTCATGTCGCGACGCTGGCTCGATGGGGGTAAAAGATATCATGCGTTGTGGTAGTTTGTAAGGGTGAGCATAGTTCTAAGGTAGAACTTGATGGAAATGTGTCAAGTTCCAAGTAGTTCCAAAGTATACATGATAGATTTCAAGTTTTCAAGTAGGTGGAACCTGGAACCTATAATAGGTTTTTTTTTTTTTGGTATATGCGGTATTCCATGACGTTCGGTGATGAGTATATAATTTGAAACCATTAGTCTGAGACTTTTACTTTGTTAATATTTCATATTCTTTATGTGTCTGAATATATGTTGTGGTCGGTGGATATTAGCAGCAAGTGGTTGTCATTAAAGTAATGATTCATTACAATCGTTCAATGACAATAGAGGTCGAACTTAGGTAAACCCTGGAATCGATATTGAAACATATGACATGATAGGTTTCGGGTTCCAAGAAATGAGGAACATGTTTTAACGGATAGATTTCAGGTTCCAGGTGGAATTTGTACGGAACCTAAAATCACTCATCCCTAGTAGCTTGACATGTAGAACCGCCATGCAATTTATTTAGTGACCCCCGACCAGACCGGAAGGTTTTTCCTCAAGAAGGACGTGAAGCATCGACAGTGCATGCATGAACGCGAATCAGCATCGAACAAGAAAAACCAGTGGCATATACCGCTTTGGCTTGTGGACCAAACGCCAACCACATTTCAACTTTCGTGCTAAAACTTGTGGGCTCGTTTTCTTTTCTTTCTATGAATAATTTCCGAAAGGAATATATGCCCATAACCAAGTTGATTATCTTTCTAGGCCTAAAATTGTTGGATATGATGATCTCGCAAATTCTGGATCTCGCGATATGACTTGGAAAGAGACCGGAACAAAAGAGAAAGATCTTGCTTTTCTGACCTCCTGAAAAGGATTAGTTCTTTATCAACTTGGCAAGCCCCGGTAAGATTCTTCCGCCTTCGGATCGAATTAAACCACATGCTCCACCGGTCGTACGGTCCTCCCGTTCGATTCCTTTTAATTTTCGTCTTTGCATCGAGAGAGGATGCGATCAGATCAAGAAGAGTGGGAGGGTTCGCTGCAAATCTAGTAAATCCTGTTCGAATCTTTGGTCCGTGCATGTGACCCGACTCGAAGCACATGTGATTTTTACAAGAAGCGAATTGCGGGCTTTTCTTCTATTTTAGTGAACCGAAACAGTTCTTAGAAAAGAGTTTTTCTTAATCATAACCAAGAAAAAACGAGAGGTTGTATTTTGCAATACTCCGCTAGGTAATCCGTGATATAATCAAGTCAAAAATGAGATTTTTCTCACTTTTTGACTTTCTGAATTTTACCCTTACATTGCTCGGTGCCTTTTAAAGAAGTTCACCCAATTTAATTCTACGATCTAATTTATTCTTCTCATCAAATAACCTTGTTCAAAGGCTACTAAATTGGCGAAAGCGTCAGCAATAGAGAACTACTCACTACCTAAAAAAAGACAAATTGCTCAAGTTTATTTACGAAACTTGCACGGCGCGCATCGGTTCTAGTATCCCTTTAAACAAAGTCACATTAAAAATGGTAAGACTCGAAACTAGTCGAAACCATTCGGGAAGCAGTTCGAAAAATAATAGATTTTCTAAAACTATATAGCACCTTAGAGTGATGAAGAAGAAGTTGCAAGATGCTATGGTCAAGAAGTGTATATCAAGAACGTTACTTACAAAAGTTGAAACACCCTCGTTTTCACATCGGTCGTACCTCCTTTCTTCCCTTCACTTTTGGCAAAAAGACCAAAAGAGATGAAAAGATTGGCGGGTAAGGTCAAGGCGTCATGGCAACGCATGCATCGATTTTTATCTGAAAATGGAAATCAACGGGACCCAAAAAAAAGCAAAAGAACGAATTTCAATTGTATTTTCTGAAAACGGATCGGTTATTCCTTTTCTATTTCTCATTAAAAATTGAGTTAATATTACGAAAAACCTTATATCTGTGACAAATTTATCTCGAACTAATTTTTTGACTACCAAAAACTTCAAATTAATACATTCATGATAAATTTACCTTCCGTTAATTTCATTTAAATTTGATCTTCAAATTTCTGAGTTGGATGACACATGACAGTTAACAAGTGTACCAATTTGGGATTTTACCTTTCGTTTTTTTTTTGTCGAGCGTAATAGTATATGATTTTTCTTGGTATTAATATAATTTAATGGATGGTAAATTTGTCACAAATATATTGATTTGGGGTTTTTGGTGGTCAAAAAATTAGTGTGGGTGGGGTAAATTTATCACAAGTTTTTCAATTCGGGGTTTTTGATGGTCAAAAAGTTAGTTTTGGGGAAATTTATTACGGGTATATCGGTTTAGAGTTTTTCGTGGTATTAACTCATAAAAATTAAACCGTAGAGCTCTCCTCTTTTTTTTTTTTCGATAGTACCGAGTCCGAGACCAGAAACGAAGCGGGATTTACTTCGCGGGCTCGAGAGACGGAGGCGGCGTGCATATAACGATCCGAGACACATCGAGACCGGGGGCCGGTGCCCGGGCTTCTCCTTCTCTCTTTGTGAGCATATCTACGCGTTCAAGTCCACGATTCAAAAGCACTTCAGCTCCGTGCAAAATGCAACGCTCATCGGAAAGATTCACATCCACACAAAAAGCTCAAAGAGAAACGACGCG